AGGCCTAGTAACACTATAGAAAACAATAGCTAAATCACAACAGTTGATCGCAGTTACGACATACGCAAATAGGGACAAGTCAAAAGTAAGCTTGATATGACAACTTCCCATATGGATTCATTGTCGATCAATCTCTTATCCACTGGTCACGAAGCCGTTTGACGTGAGAATACTTCCATAGAAAGTTTCAAAGAGGGAGCAACTATCTCAAGAATCTCTACATAATGTGATGGCAGACAGTCTCACTGAAAAGGTTAAGTTAGAACGTGTCCGTGAGAACCGACATATGCAAACAACTGGTGCGAGAGATAAATTTGTAGTTTACTTACTCGTTTGCGTCTCTTACGTAAATAAAGGTCAAGTGAACTTAGAGAACCCATTTGTTTTTTGTCGTAACTTTCGTTGTACATGATCTGGAATTTGAAGTAAAAGGTACTGGCATTTGTGATTTGAAAATTAAGAATACTCAGTGAAAGTAACGTGAATCATATTACCAAAGGCCTTGCACCAATGAACAAATAGAAATCTGTTCTATCTTCACGCTCACCGCTGTCAGCGTCGATTCCGTGCTATGCGAGGCCTATGAAAACTAATATTGTGTCTCAAATAACGTCTGGGAGCCAGATCACTGCCAATATTCATTTACTTGAACATATTCGGTTTGTTCGACCACAATCGACTTTTGCGTCCACATTCTCATACGGCGAGCAAACTCATTATTGTAATTGTAGTCACAATTTTCACTTCAGCTATTCAAGATCATTGAATGATAGTTCTTTGCTCAAGTGTTTTGTGGGGTTCGAATAATTTGTCACCAATTTTTTTTGTTTAGCCACAACTGTTCAGTTAACTATTCTATTAAAAAGTTTCAGTCAACCGGTTAATATACTGTAATGGTTAAAAATTACACCTGATTGCGCTTCGGAAATCTTGGACTACAAAGTCAAACAATAGTGTGACGTCAGAACTTGATATTTGACCTGCACACGGCTCCGAACCGATAGTAAAAACAATAATCACATACAAGTCTGGTAGTGAATCTTTATAAAGTCAAATCAATGTCAGGGTTGACTAATAAAATGAGGATAGTTCAGGACTTTTAGGAGATTTTGCTTTCAAGTTAGAAAGTTCCTACGTTATGAAATGTTGTATTTTGAAGGCAAGTTTCTAATACTAATGAAGTTTTAAAATGGAAACGCTGGACATATTGCTTAGCGCAAAATTCGAGATTAGAGACCAATAATTTACCTCCATTTTCGAAAATATTCCTTGAAGTCTGTGGGATTATAAAGTTGGAAAAAATAACAGAATGACGTCTACCAGATACACCCTCGGATGATAAAGAGCACTCTACAACAAGAGTATTTTTTTAAATAAGATAGAATCTTAAGTACCATAACATCACGAGCATGTTGTTCCCACGATTATGAGATGTCTCAAATGTCAAGACAACATAATGATTTTGATGAAATTGCACCAAGTAAGATGTCTGATGATCTGACAACTGGTCAAAGTGATTGATGGGGTTGTGATGTCATCAAGTGAGAGGAAAAATTGCCCTTACAAATTATTTAGTTAACACTTTTGTTTACAGTTAAAACTTACATAAATAATTATTATAGTTAAATAACGCGGAGAGAGTAGATAAAGAGTTATTTTTAATTATAAGTAATCAGTGTTGGCGCCTAATTAATGGATGATTTTTATAAACAAGTAGGATTTTGCGGAACCTTCAGTCATTTCGTGTTTTTTTACAAGCTTTATATTGACTTCACTTGTTATGTCTATTACGTCCTTGACACGACCGGTAATATTGAATAAGTATCACCATGGAGTTAATTAAGGCGNTGAATATTTAAAGATTTCTGAGAGGACTGGGTACAGGGTAACCCCTCTGGAATCAAAGTGCAGTAATTGTCAAAAAATAAACCAATTTCAGAACTTACAAACAGACACTTTATCAAAACTTTTGTATAGTCATAATTGGAATTTTCATTCATTGGAAAATACGCATAGATTAAACCCATTTTGACTAATTGATATTATTATAATTATATCTATAATATATCTAAATATAATTCATCATGTTATTATTATGTAGATAAGCTTAGTACTTACTAAGTACTATCGGCCACTCATTCAAGCTACTCATTTCCGGTCATGTTGTCTCATTCTCGTCAGAGCGAGAGAAAAAACTGAAATGGGTAGCTGGAACTGTGAGTAATAAATTATGTAGAGACGGAGTCAAATGATTGAGAATTGCTTGTGTTGTGTACGAGTGTGTTCATCACAATAGTCCAGTGGCATCGCAGCGAGGGGTTTGAATCCCTCGGATCTCGAGTCGGCCAGCCCGACACGTTTCACTGTTGGGCTATAGTCGCCTCAAACGTACTGTTTTAATATAAATGTTTTTTTTAGGCCTCGAGGGCTTTTTTATTGTGGCTAAGTAGACCATTTAAAAGTAGTGTCGCGTGTGGCTCCCTGCTGTTTAAAGGTGTAATAGCGATCTAAGCTCATCTTAGAGTACATTTTGATGTAGAGCGTTTTAAAAGTTTAAAAATTGTGCCTTAATTATGAGAAAGTGTTCCTAGCCAAGTTTGATAGAGTCAACTACGCTGGTGTAATACTGGTGATTGGCTAAACTGGTTACAATACACTGGCATGAGCCCACTTCAAGTTAAGTTCTACCTAGTAGGCCAGTAGAAATAGAGTTGAAATCGGATTTATCTAATTCCTTAGAAAATCTTTTATTGTTATATTGGTTTCATTAGAATTTTCATTTCGGTGGATTTTGCTTACACAAGTAGCATTATGCGGTCTTACGATTATATCTAGTAAGGATGGTTATATAGGGTTGGAAGTTGTGTGTGCATCGAATAGGACCAAATTCATATTATGTTTTGGACAAACCGTTCTCGTGCTAATGTTCGACAAAGTAGGACATAACGTTCTTTATTGACCCTCTCCACGTCCAGTGGCTCATTACCCGCAGGCTCCTAAATTTTTACAATAGCCGCCTCAACCAGCGTATTCCTCTCAAGGCTTGCGAGCTGGATGCGCCTACTCATCCCAGCCGTTCCTTAACTACGGTACCTGTGCCCCTTCCTTGCACTCTTCTGAATGACTCTATGTTCTCTACTGTGACTGCTCCTCTTCCTTCCACCTACCTACTGCCTACTGCCCAGTCCAAAGTCCCACACAAAACAATCAACAGCAACAGTTACGTAACATTCTGTATACTAAGTAACATTAGAAAAAATATTTTTCTTTTCCAAAACAGCCTATTTTAAGCTAGAGCTGAAAAACCATTTACTTTCCATAAAATTGTAGGTAAGGCCGTGGCCAACCGGCTAATCTGGGAATCATTGGGTGAGTGAGGCCTAAGCTTAGCAGCGGATGACTGAAATTAATGATGATGATAATCACATAATGGCATTAGTGTATTGGTGTAGTTTTATGATAGGTAAGTTCAATACGAGAAACAATAAACAAACATTCTTATCTATACTTATAATAAATCTGTAGAGAGATCAATTCTGTACATGAAATATATTTTCAAAATAACTATCAGGGGGTAATTAGTAATCGATACTGATGCCAAAAATGCAATTAGTAAAATTTTTGTCTGTCTGTCTGTCTGTCTGTCTGTCTGTCTGTCTGTCTGTCTGTATGTTCCTTATAGAAACAAAAACTACTCGACGGATTTTAACGAAACTTGGTACAATTATTCTGCATACTCCTGGGCAGGTTATAGTATACTTAGGAATTCCCACGAGAACGGGATTTAGCGGGAAAATCCTTCTGTATGAAAAATCTAAACCGCTTAAGTTAGGCGCTTGAAATTTGGCATGCAGGTACCTTAGTAAACTTAAAGCTTAGTTACAACAGAATATTGCAAAATTCCTACGGGAACGGGAGTTAGCGGGAAAAAACATTTGTATGAAAAATCTAAATCGCTTAAGTTAGACGCTTGAAATTTGGCATGCAGGTACCTTAGTAAACTTAAAGCTTAGTTACAACAGGATTTTGCAAAATTCCCACGGGAACGGGAGTTAGCGGGAAAAAACATTTGTATGATAAATCTAAATCGCTTAAGTTAGACGGTTGAAATTTGGCATGCAGGTACCTTAGTAAACTTAAAGCTTAGTTACAACAGGATTTTGCAAAATTCCCACGGGAACGGGAGTTAGCAGGAAAAAACATTGGTATGAAAAATCTAAACCACGTAAGATAGATGAAGGGAGTAAAACGGGATCCACGCGTACGAAGTCGCGGGCGGCCGCTAGTTTATAATATAAGTATTATTAAAATGTTGTATTATTTACAAAAAAGTTTACAGTTCATAAAAAAATAGACACTGATAGAATTTATGGATGAATTTAATTCTTCCTAATGTTTTTGAAGAATGTAATTAACTAACTATTCTTTTTTCTTTGATAGGCAAAAGAAAGTAGACCTATGTATTGGCGTCTGGGTAGGTACTAAGCGTGGTGCGACCAGGAAGTCTAGGTACATATTATCACTCCCATTCTGGCACTGCATTTGCTTGATTATGTATGTTTAATCTCATAAACAAATAAATGAAAAGTAGACATTTTTATAATAATAATTCATTTAATCGAATGTCACTATATCTATTTCTTATCGGTTCTCGCTTATCTAGTTAGTGAACTGAGACACGCGCACATTGACGCCAGGGAATTCGCCAAGCGCGCATTCGTGCCCGAACGAGCAGATGCCGACTTGCACGCCATGGTAGAAGACTGGCCCGCCAGAGTCCCCGTAGCACTGGTCGCGACCTCCCACGTCCAGTATACCGGAGCACAGCATGTTGTCAGTGATCGTGTATGGTATAGGCACGCCGTTAACCATTCGGCTTGCAAATTCCTGTCTGCAGATTTATTTAATGCTTAATCTAATAATGAAACGATAAGTAGACTTTCTTTTATTAGTTCGTTTAATTGATTTATCAATATCTTATATCCTCATAAATTTATTTCCTATCGGTTCTCGCTTATCCAGTTGGTGAACTGAGACACGCGCACATTGACGCCAGGGAATTCGCCAAGCGCGCATTCGTGCCCGAACGAGCAGATACCGACTTGCACGCCGTGGTGGAAGACTGGCCCGCCAGAGTCCCCGTAGCACTGGTCGCGACCTCCCACGTCCAGTATACCGGAGCACAGCATGTTGTCAGTGATCGTGTATGGCATAGGCACGCCGTTGATCACGAGGTTTGCGAACCGCTGTCTGCAAATCTCCTGGTTCACAGTGTACACTTGCACGTGACGTAGCTGCTCTGATTGAGACGTGAAGTTGCCGTACTGAAAAATACATTGTTTTTTTAGTTATTATTTTTAGTATTATTAGGTTTTACGAGCAAAAAAGGTGTGTAGTGAAGCGATATCAGCTCTATAATCTAGCTACTTAAATGTATTATAACTAATTATTCAGCTCAATATTTGTCGTAATGCTTATCTTGAGAAAATTGGAAACAATAACAAATTCGTTAATTCATCGCGCTGCGACTTCATCCAAGTAGATTTTGTGGACGAAGATTTACATTGTGTTCATACAATGTTGTACCATGTTATGGTTTTTGAGTGATGGCGCAATGAGCGTCCATGCTTTCGAACTTCCGCAGTGTCATGACGTCACACGCGCGATTGTTTATAGCCCTATCAGCCTATCAGCCCAATGGAGTGATTTAGAAGAACATACCTGAGTCCATCCCCAGCCAGTAGCCCAGACCGCTTGATTATCAGCAAGGTTGTAGTTGGGACCAGCAATCAGGGCAGGTCTTGAAGTAGATGTGACGGGAATGATGCCGGTAAGCCAAAGGATCGACACGTCATTGTCTGGTTGGGCTGGCCAGTTGAAAGCGTAGCCGGGATGGATGATAATCCTTTCAATAGTGTAGACAGTCCCATTCGAGCTTCTGTATGAGGATCCCACACGTACACGACGACCTGCTGGAATAGTGACTCTGGAAAAAAGTAAAATTATATTTGCATCCGTAGTTAAGAGTATTGGCGGTCAAGCTGTAGATTTTGACTACACAGGAGTTGCAACGGTGGGTAAAAGAGGTGGGAATACTTAGTCCCGTGCTAATGCTCTGATGCATTTTAGGTATAGGCAGGGAAATAAATTGAATTTGCAAACTTAGTATATTGTGAGCAGTCCTTTTGAGAAGAAATGTTTTACACCAAAACAGCGTTAGCTTCGATAGGCACATACATAAAGAACCCCCAACGGACTATCCAAATCTTGTTGAAAATTGATCTAATCGAAATTAGGTTAAATAACAGCAGTAGTTACTTACTCAGTACAGTGAGCAGCAGTCAAGATGGCCCTGTTGTTCAGAATGGACCCACCGCAGTCCTGTCCATAATGGTTGCCCCAGACCCTCAGCAGAGCCACCATCTCAGGGTACTCCTCGATGGTCGTGAGGGACCCTCCGACGATCCTCTCGGAGGTCTCGGTGGCTTCAACATAGATTTAAATTTAAATTTTAGACTGTAAAGTCATGTCTTCAAAGTTAAGATTCGTGTGATAAGATGTAGCAATATTTATTTGTGGATTATTTGTAGCCTAATCTCGTGTACGAAATTGTCGTACAGTCAAGTAGCACAGTTTCCCACGTTTTCTATAAATATCAGAATAGCGGGGTTACTCCGGAAAAAGTTATCCAAAGTCTTGAATGTAGCCATCCCTCTCACGCAAAACGAGATGACAGCATGAACGAAGATGACAGATAGAAACATAACTAAGTTAACAGAGTTTCGGAGTAGCCCCAAGTAGCCCTCCAGGAAGGCACGTGAACACTAATGCCACCTAATGCCTCAATTTAAGAATTTTTCAGATAATTCTCACATCCTAACACACAAAACGAAGCCATAAATATAGCCTTGTCCAGGAGAGCGAATACGCCGCGAATCCTACGCGCGAACACGATCGTATTGTATGACGCGATTTACGCGCGAATTCTCGTGCGTGTCTTGTGGACACTCATATCTTGCCATCGCGCGTATGATTCTACGCGCGTAGAAGGCAAGGCAAGGCCTTAAAATATTAATAAGTAGGTACACTGCACAAATCTTTACCTGCTGCCACCGCCAATGTTATGGCGAAAACAATAAAGGATCGCATTTTGACCGAGAAATAGATTATAATTTTGATAACTTTCCGCTTTTATACATAAACTTTGCTCAACTATCATTTCCTTTTATCTTTTATCTACACACTAATTAAAACATAATAATTATTATCAATTATCTTTATTTGTGGGTATTATTTATCAACTCATACATCAGGACGGATTTCCCTCTGACCCGAGTTCCTAATCTTTATCAGCACGTCTTGTTGATTACACAATAACATTAAACGTAATAGCACAGTAATAGTCCTTTAATCAGTGCCAATAGATTTTGGCAATCTTTAGGCCGATTATTATTTACTTATACCAAGCTTTGTAGAAGAAGAAGAAGAGCCTGGATGCGGGCAGCGCAGGACCGTTCATTGGAAAACCTTGGGGGAGGCCTTTGGCCAGCAGTGGACGTCATTTGGCTGAAACGAACGAACGATACCAAGCTTTGTAACATGACCCTACATAGTAATTTACGTTAGTGTTTTTATTCTATTGCTGATGGAATTGTGTACGTTACTCCAGCTGGAAAGTAGCTCCTAGAGTGATATGAGTAGAACGTATAATTAGTTCCCAACATGGTGTAAATGTGCGCCGAATTAGAGATTAGTGCGTGCTGTCGTTTTGGTACAAAACGAAAAAAACGATTCCTGCTGGAGTAACGTTGTTCTAGCCCTTCTGACCCACCGCACTACCAAACCACACTACCAGTAGTGTCGTGGGGAATATTTATTCCCTTCTGCACTACCAAGCCAGTAGTGTCGTGGGTAACATACATTTTCATTCCCATCGACACTACTACCATAACTAAATGTAAAATTTGTAAAATGTTGGATTGTTTTATAATAAATTATGTTTATATGCAACCCTAACCTCGGTACAAATTTGCAGTTTGACGGAATTTACCTACTGAAAAAAAAAATATTACCTAAAAGGGCTTATACCTATACAGGGTGTTAGGTAAATGGGTATATGAGCCGACACTAGACCATGTTAACATGGTCTTATAAATGGTATGGTGAAGTCAGAAATTTGATATCATCATTTTGATTTTTTTAATTTTCATACAAAATAAATTTTATAAAATCCGATTTGTATGAAAATTAAAATAATTAAAATGAAGATATCAATTTTCTGACTTCACCATACCATTTATATGACCATGTTAACATGGGCTAGTGTCTGCTATACCCATTTACCTAACACCCTGTATAACTTAGCGTGAAAGAAAAACAAAAATTACATTATTTTTACCCGACTGCGGCAAAGCAAAAGGAGTTATGATTTTGACAGGCTATGTATGTATGTATGTATGTTCATCTATTCCCTNCCATATTAACATTAATTAAAAATACAGCAGGTTCTTCAACCGAAATAAACCTTTAATGCGCGATAGGACCACCATTAATTCATTAATTACAATATTTATAAGATATTAACTAACGTCGACCGTCAATGGCTTAAGTTTGCGAATAATAATAACAAGATAATGCGATAAAGATGTACATTATGGAATATCATCGATCATTTTGATTGAATACAGGAAAACTTCTAAATAACCTTGCCGACGCCTCCTATAATTACGGAGGCACGATGGAAATCTCAAAATATAACCATCTACAAAATATACAAGCGTACGAGGGGCGGCTGAAAAGTTTTGAGCCTAAGTATCTTCAAGTGCTATTATTGACTCGCTTTCAATTTATTTAATTAGCCAATAACCTCCTTAGTATATGTACAAAGTTTCATTTCATTAGCGTCATCACGCTTTAAGTAATTAATCAGTAAACATCATCATGTCTCAGTTATCCGCGTAATGTACGAAATCGAAGTACACAGTTGTCATAAAACTCCTCAAAAAGAGGAACAAAACGCTGACGGTAACATTTGAAGAGATGTCTACAGTTTATGGGGAGTCTGGGCCTTCATTTGCCATCATGAAATATTGGATCCGATAGTTCAAGCATGCCAGGGAGCCTCTAAAAGATGACCGCAAGTCAGGGCGGCCAGATTTCGCCATTAACGAATAAAATAATGAAAACTTAAAAAATCTTGCTTTAGAGATCAGCGAATTAAGTTGTGACAGATAGCTGAAACCATAGGCATTAACAAAGAACGTAACGGCGATATTTTTCATACTCATTTGCACATGAAATAGGGGTGCGCGCGATGGGTGCCAAAAATGCTCTCGCCGCTCGACAACCAGCGTCGAGTCACAACTTCGCAGGAGTTTTAGGACATCTTTGACCATAATTCTAACATTTTTTTGTCTCACATTATCACTATTGATAAATAATAGATCCGGCAGTACGATCTAGAGTCAAAATAAGACTCACTGCAACGGATTCAAAAGGGAAAACGCCGCCGCGGAAATTCAAAGTGGAGCGATCGACACCTAAGTTCATAGCCACTATTTTTGGGATTGTTGAGGAATTTTATTCATTGACTACCTACTTAAAAAAAACTACAATAAACGGGGATTATTATGCTGTACTGTTGATAGGAGTGCGTCAAGTGGTTGTTGAAATATTAAGAGGCAAACTGGCGAAAGGAAATCTGTTACTGCAAGACAATTCAACCGCGCACACCGCGCATGTTGCATGGCTTACCCCGGGTAAAACTGGATTTTAAGAAATTAATCACCCACCACACAGTTTAGTCCAATTCTCTAGCTATTTTGTCTAATTCTCAAATTGGAAAAAAGACCTCCAGGAACGAAGATTTTTGAGTGACAAAAAAAGGAAGGCGGCGATAAAGGCTCATTTCGAAGGCAAAGATTGCGAATTTTTTTTCAGTAGGTTAAAAGCTCTTTTACACAAATGTAAGAAGTCCGTTGTAGTAGAGGGAGATTAAATAGAAAAATATATTTTTTACACTTTTCTATCGGCATTTTTAATACCCTAGGCTCAAAACTTTTCAGCCTCCCCTCGTAAGTTAGACAGAATAATATCTATCTAAATATAAAAGGAGAAACTGACTGACTGACAGATCAACGCACAGCCTAAACGGCTAAACGTAGGCACTTGAAATTTGGAAGGGACGTAGCTTAGGTACCGTAGAGGTGCACTAAGAAAGGAATTCCCGAAATTCCCACGGGAACGTTTTGAATTAGCGGGAAAAACGGGATTCACGCGTACGAAGTCGCGGGCGGCCGCTAGTTAAGAATAAGAAGCAAATTTTATCTAAGTAGGACTCGCAAAGAAATACAAAGACAAGAAACCCAAGACGACACAAAGACAAAACGTGATATTACATTACCAACAAGACATGTCACTCACTTTTTTTGCGACGAAAACTAAAACCGCAGAGCATTATTACAATAGCACAAAACTCACTGAAACCTGTAACTGTTAGAGCTGTATGTACAATACTGAACGCGAAACAATAAGCGTAAGTAGGTTTTCTGTGTCCATACTGTAGCCGGCCGCGTGCTTATCAGCGTTACACTAACTTGCGCGTACGCAGAAAACGCTCTCAGCAAATACGGTGAGTTGTGAGTTATGTTATGTCAATGTCTCTGATTGTTTTAATTTGGCGTCTGTTAATCGAAAAAAAAATTACACAGGTCATTTTAATTCGACTGCTTTAGAACAAGGTATTTTTATTGGATCCACGACTTGAGTTATTTAAGACATGTTTAGTTCACAGTAACAGGATTTAACAACGATATCTTTGGCTGGAGTTCAGATAAAATAAACTGGGAACTATGAGCAGAAACTTGCATTAACCAAACCGATTTTAACGACTGCTTTGCAAATTGAGAACACGTGTTGCGAAATCACTTACACCCATCTTCTCACCCCATTTTAAAGGGCTTTTTAAGATCCGGGATAGCCGTTGAAGAGCAGCTGTATATCACACGAAGAGCCTCTTTTGTGAGCGGTAAAAAATCAGGCAGTTGCCACAGCTGCCAGTACTTGCATGAGGGAATGCATCGTACTCTGCTCGCATTCTTGAGATGAACAAAAAAATTCAAGACACAAACTATCGAGCTATCTGTGAGCGTTTCGCTGGTTTAGAAATATCTGTATCATGTTCAAGAGAAACAAGCTGACGAGCCAATTTAAAATTAATTTATGTGAAATAAATTATTGGTAGCGAAAAAAGAAAACAACACTGAAAACGAGACGAACGTCATGTTATGCATTTTCAGAGTTACACAAGAAAGAGTTATAAATACTGAGTTTTATGAAGGTATTATGCAAATTCAGAATGTCCTACACGTGACAAAACTCTCAAACAATACTCAGTTTTGTTTGTATTTGTTAGTTATTGTTTCCACGCCTTTCAAGAAAAAAAAAAAGATCTGGAGATTTACTATGGCTGAAGAACCAGTAAAAAATAACGTACCTTTCTTGGAACTAAATAGTGATTTAAGTTTTGATAGGGTCCTCTTCTTCATTGTTCCGTTGATCTCACGTTGGTGCACCAGTGTCACAGGCAGCTGTTGTGGACATTGGTTCACAACAGACAGAAATATACGCGGCACTGCGTCCTCAAGTTTTTCAGGCGTTCGAGCTTTTTGCTCCTTTTGCCGCTCTTATTTCCGTGGTACGAAAATAGGTCCAACGAAACACTTGCACCGGCGCAGACGCATCAGTCATACGTACATCACGTTATATCACTAAACCGCAATTAAAACTTGAACTTTTGAACCACAAAAATATAAAAAACAACAACAAATATTACTAAGTCTCACACACACTCTTTATTGCACTTTTTCCAATGTGTGTTGCCGATTTCCAGTTATCTATTCACCTCTTTTTATCAGGCATTATCAACAACAAGCAAGGCAGATAACGCGGCGCGTCGAATAAAATAAAATCAAACATAAAATTACACGCACGAGTTTATGGTAAACGCACGAACTGAATACTGAGCGCCGAACGTTTACAATTCGTAAATAAGATAATGTGTCAGTCGCGACAGGCCCGTATCAAAGGACCGACAGTTACACAAGTTGCAGGCCGTTTATGACCAAATGGGCAATTACGCGTACGGGCACAGCGATCCTAAATGCTTCAGGCGGGAACCATCGCGCTGACGGCTATTCTTGGGCGTGCTGCGAACACAACTAAACGCGGTGGCGCACGCGCAACATACGAATAATGGGGAGCTGACCGATGTCGGTACTGACATAAAAATTGATACAAAACTACGAGCCCTCTTCCGTTAACGTAGTCCCGTTTCCGTCCCAACCCAATCAAGCGGCGAAATGAAATACAATCGACTAGTAGAGGAGACACCGTTTGAACATTTTCAATGGCGGAGTGGTGAGAGAACCGGAGACAACGTATCCGCTGCCTCTTTTAAAAATGGAATTTAACGAATGGCACTTTTGGGAAGTTTGGGAACACTATCGGAGAATGGGTCGGCCCGGCATAAATCACACAAGGGGTGCGAGAAGAATAAAATACTGGGATCACGAACGAAGAAATGAGACAACGTATGCGAAAAAAAAACACCGAAAGAATTTACGGATGACCGGCCCAATAATGTGGGAATTTTAAGTGGATGTGGAGATGCTTATTAAATTATTATGTTACAGATATAAAACACTTTGTATTTTAGTACTTTGATTATTTCAGAACATCTTACCCTGCGGAATAGGCGGCACATCATTTAACGGAAATATTAGCATCCTCTTTAACACGCAACAGCAATTTGCTCCTGGGTCGTATTTGATAATGACTTCCTTGTGGCAAATGTCAAGATGAAATAATAAGGTAGGGTCTGGGAATGTAGCCAAAGCCAACTATCATCATGCACAAATACCCATTTGTTAGTTGAAAAATTTCGTCTCTTAAAAGATCATGAAGGTTTTATGGTCATAGTCAAAAATGGGATGATCCTGGATGACCTACTTAAAATTATAACAGCCGATTGAATATTGCATTTTGTCAATAAAGTTGTACCATGACATGAATAGTTTAGTCGCTAACAAGCGAAGCGTGTTGTGTCAGTGGTATGTTTACACATCAAATATTGTTTAGATGCCACACCGGACCGCCTGGGGAGCGGCAAATGCGGCAATTTCGACATGTGCATTGTGTACACGACGAGCGCTTTACAGACGATGTGTGAAGAAAGATGAGCGCAAAATATTGGACAGAAACAAAACACGGTTTCATTACGAGTTCACGTTTTTACGTGAGAAGAGCAAAACCTTAGTACAATGATCTTTTGAACCGTTTATGACTGTGTTATATCGTAACGTCACGCAATAAATAACAGCTGCATAATAGAAGATTACTTCGCGTCATTCAAAAATATTTATAAATCATGCTTAGAAGAAAAGTGGACCCGTTATACTTGAGTCGCTCTAGTAAATTTTATGGCAATGACCTAATAACAGCCATTGGAATGCGAACGTAATCCAAAGGACGTATTTCAACAAAAAATAATTTAATTAGGCACATTAAACTTAATTATTTTTGTACTGACAACATTTTCTACATATTTAGCAACACATGCGAAGGGCTTAAGTTTTCGAGCGTTAATTCGCGTCTGTATTGGAATTTCAATTTTATTTGCATCATCTATGGTAGAATTTGTGTAAATTATATTATTTCCTATATGGCCATGACAAGTGAAAGAGATGAGAGTTAACAAACTCTGATTTCTGCCACACATGCGGTTTAGCATTGGGTGCAATGGCGCGCGTCTAGAGATGGGTAAGTGCTAATAATCCGATTAATAGCAATTGGCTAGTAACGGATAAAAAGCAGTTATTAGCCATAAATAGCCAATAATAGCCGATTTCAGATGGTAACCCTGCCTAATTATTTACTTCTTAAATGTTTATTCTGATCTGAAAGTACTATTTTATTAATTATTATACCATATACCATGAATGATATCGGCCTAAATCACATACATTATCTCCTATTTTAAAGTAAGTATTAGTTGAAGCAATTGGGTAATAAAGACCAGAAACAACAATGGTTTCACATCAACTAATTAGACAGGAGACAGAGAAAAGTTTGTTTTCTACAATTACCTTATTGGGAATCAAACTCTGGACCAGAGATGATGATGTCAAGCTATATTGATTGCTTTTTGGCTACAGAAGGATAATATAAAAGTAAANGTCGGACCGCTCGCTCACACTCGGGTGAACACACTAGTGCATCAAACTATCATATTATACTTTTCGAGACAGGAATCGATAATTTTTAATTTCATTACAGTTGCGTTTGTTAAAATTATGATTTGATCATATCCTACATTCATTAATTAAACGCATTTTATTATTAAATTACCCAATTATCTATTTCAGTACGTATTAATTAATGTTTTCAATTCCTTGGTGAGAATATGAAGTTGTTAACTTTGATGGTTCATTTAACTTAACGATCTATACAGGCTTAAAAAGAAAAAAGTGATGATCAAATCAAATCATTTATATTTGCGAACATGGGTTTACATACAGTAGGTGTTACAAGTTTTTTAGTATCTCCATTTTCCACCTTTTGGCATGCAAAATTCTGTACCCCCAGTGAAAACGGAGTTAAGTCAAAAATGGTGATTTTTGGGAAATCGCATTTGAAGTTAAAAAAAATCCTGCTTCGTCGCTATTAGAGATNTTAGATCCCTTTTCACTGGGGGTACAGAATTATTATTATAAATAATAAAAATTTTGGATGTCATTGTTTTCTGCAATTCTACTTTCAATAGTTTCGATACGCAAACAAAATGAGTTTTATTATTTTTTTAAATCCCAAAATTACACGTCTTCCAATAAATCATGGTAACACTAGCATCGTCCCAGTGTGTACAGAGCAAGAGGCTACACTGCCACACCTCACCAGACATGCTGCAAAAAGCTCCCTGCCAAATTCGTGCCTTTTTAATTGGCTGTTTATCCCGTTTCAGGCTGTGATCGGTAAATTAACAAAAACAGCTCGTTTTACACTTTAAATTAAAAATCTGACGTTAGCAAAAATTGGTTTCACTAATAAATAATTCGATTCACAACGATTTTTTGTCTACTTACTAGTACTTTATAGCGCTAGTTTTGGTTAAATAATTTATTTTATTGTAATAGATAGATGACCAATCTAGCAGAAATTGATTGTTATAATGGAAGGTTCATTTAGAATGCAATTAATTAAACAAGTTTAGATCGTAACATACTCGTAAGCACTCAATTAAAAGATATGTTACTGTAAAAGCTCGAACTACGGTTAATCTTAAGATTTAAGTGTAAGTCTTAGGATTTACCGACATGAGTTGGTAAATGTAAGTATTTCTGAAAATACGCCGATTTTTTCGAGCTTTTACCATTCGAATTTAATATATGCTAGGTTTTACCTCTGTCAGCTGGATAATGTTGGTTTTAGGAATAAAACAATGAGTAATTCTTAATTACTTACTTTAATCAACTATTAGACAAAACAGGTTGTACATTGACAAATGACATTGGGAACTTTTTGCCCCACTTTTCGAAAAGTAGCGGACACAAACGAAACCTATCACAGATGATACATACTAATATCCAATGAATTTCCGTGCATTTTTTTTTCTCTCGTATATGGGAATATTGAGAAAATTAAGTTTTAATATTTTATTTTATTTTACATTTAGGTAATATTTTTGATGACCTCCGTGGCGGAGAGGCGCACACACCGGTTTTCAAGGTGTGCCGGGCCAATCCTGAGGTCCCGGGTTCGATTCCCGGTCGGGACAATATAGAAAACGATCTTTTCACATTGTCTCTGGTTTGGGTGTGTTGTGGTTCGTCGTTCCCGATTTCCATAACACAAATGCCTTAGCTACTTATTTTGGGTTGGAGTAATATATGAGATGTTGTCTAATATTAATTTAAGTATTTATAATATTTTATTTATTTATATTATTTTATTTATTTTTATTGGTTACTCTGCAATGCCAAACAACATAACATGTAAAAATATCAAATCATTTTAGGCAAATATATTTTCAACTAAGACTCGTCATATCTCAGAATTCCCATATCTCACAACATAGCGCTTTAAGTGAATATACCTACAAGTATAAAGCTTTGAAATAAAATACGTTTCATCTTTGTCCGCCGTGGGGCATTTTCTCATATTAAAGTTCCCAATGTCCTTTCGTTGGTAGTTTTTATAGTAATGTAGGTACATCATATGTTTTTTTAGATTTTTCATTTTCTTATTTTAAAAGATAGAGGGGGTTGTTTCCACTTTGGAAGCGTCTGTCACGCAAACTATTCGGTTTAGAAAAAAAGTATTTTAGAAACCTTGATATAGATGAGCCACGCTGAACTGTCCCGCCAAACTCAATGACAGGGGGGCGCTACCATCGTTCAACTTTATGGTTTCCAACATGGCAAAAATCGGAACCAGCGATTCGGTATTGACGGTGGCGCCCTGCTGTCAATGTCATCGATAGGACAGTTCAGTATTTTGGAACTATATCATTTTTGAAGGCCTATCTATATGATAGAAACCCCACACGTATGTGTTTGATGAAAAAAAAATTTGAGTTTTAGTTCTAAGTATGGGGTGGGGAGCCCCCAATATTTTTTTATTTTTTTTATTTTTGATCAGAATCTTAATGAGGTTCACAGAATACATCTACCTACCAAGTTTCAACAGTATAGCTCTTATAGTTTCGGAAAAAAAATGGCTGTGACATACGGACGGACAGACGGACAGACGGACAGACAGACATGACATGGCCAATCTATAAGGGTTCCGTTTTTTGCCATTTGGCTACGGAACCCTAAAAAGGCTGCGCTCGTGTAATGCGTAGATAAGACCGATTGGTACCTGTCAAAAATGCTTGTTTTGTTTTTCAACATTTGCCGTGCCATTAATGTAAATCCTAAGATTTACCAACGAAATGGTGGTAAGAGTTCGAATCGCAAACCTTTTGGGACATTTACCATTAGGAATTGGTAGATCTTAGGTTTTACTGGAATATCTTAGGATTTACTGCAATTCGAGCTTTTACAGTAACAGATATATTAATACGTATTTGAAGGTACTGTATTTACCCTCACGCGAAAATCATGCAATACAGTAAAATTGATTCATCAAATGCAAAAATTATTGAAAATTTACATACAAAAATGTAATTGCAATGCTCAAGTGAAAGAGCGATTGTAAGTTTAAAGATGCAAATGATACGCCTACTCGTATAGCTTTCATAATTGATGTCAACGATCTCTGCCACACAATCAGCACGATATGTACAAATACAGGGTGTCCATAAAGGGCATGTTGCAACTCTACACGAATATTAAGTTCGCAATGTGAATTTGTTTGAACGAAGTAGGTAATCTTTGGAACAACTGAACAGATTCT